ATGGCAGCTACAGCACACTGCTGGCTCATATTTAAATGATTGTCCACTAGGACTCCGAGATCCCTCTCACAGTTACTACTATTGAGCAAGGTACCCCCTATACTGTAGTTGCCTTCTACATGGGGGGCAAACCCTTCATGTGTAGTATCAAATGGGAACCGTTGCCGCCTATTCCGGAAGCTGAACTAAGATGCCTTGTAGTTCTGGTCCAGACAGCATAAACTCAACAAAAATGGTTTTAAAACAAATTTTTATTGTCCAGGAATTCTAAGCAGAGACTTACTATGCTGTAGATACATCCGGGCTTTGCATATCTGTCCATTTTTCGTAGGTTAAAAAAGCGGTAATTCTCCATATCAGCTGAGCGTGGTCACAGATGCCATCCATGCATACACATGCTCGATTACACAAAGGGATTTTACAAACTTGACACGTAACAGGATGTCCCGCAATAACTTTTTAACTCCTCCCACTGTCTAGATAAGAAATGGGTCTGACTAACAGCTAGACTACATGCCCCATAAGCCATCTCTTAAGGAAATGGCATTTAACCCTTTAAATGCTACACGCTCTTACATACACAGTTCTCTCAATGATACATTAACCCTGTAAATGCTAAATACTCTTAACACAGTTCTATCTGGCTACAATCCGGTCCAGCACACACCGCCGCTCGCGGCAGGAAGCTGCACAGCGCTTCTGCTGCTCATGGAAGGAGGCTGCATGGTGCTTCGGGCCGGTGGAAACGGAGCTTCCTGCCGCAAGCAACGGCAATGGCATGAAGCACCATGAGGCCTCCTGCCATGAGCTGCAGGAACGGCCCAAAGCACCACACAGCTTCCTGCCACGAGTGGCGGTAATAGCGTGAAGCACCACGCGGCCTCCTGCCACAAGCAGCAGAAACTGCCCAAAGTGCTGTGCAGCCTCCTGCCGTGAGCTGCGGCAACAGCGAGATGAGCCACGCAGCGCAACAAGTGTCAGGGCGTGGGAGTCCTGGCTGCGGCGGTCCACCAGTAAGTTAAGTAGGTGTGGGACATGTGGGGCAGCTCCATCCCCCCCACCCCAACCCTAGCTTGATTTTTAGGCGTGCGCCTTGCCCCCAAACTAGGGCTTATTTTTGCTGTAGGGCTTATATTAAACCCACCTCCCCAAAATCAAGCTAGGTCTTATTTTCGGGGTAGGTCTTACGTTTTGAGGAAACCTGGAGGTACGTTAGGATAACAGAATCTTAAAAGCCCATGCCAGTTTCTCTCTGTCCCAGATCAAGAGAGGGTTATTTTAAGCTTCTTTCTCTTTGTGTTTCCCCTATTTCTCAGTATTTTAACCAGCTACTTCATTCCTTTTTAATAGCTCTGTTGTATCTTCCCCAAAGGTCATTTTTGCATGATTCCTTTATAATGATAGTTCATCTACAATTATCAACAGCCAAGAAAAAAAATTGGGTTAAAGTCTATGGAGCTTTTGGGTTTTGATCCAGCTTCAATTTAAAGTTCTTCATATTCTAAATTACTTGGATCCAAGAACCCCATGTCTCACACTAGTGCAGGTATTTGTTTCCAACATAACTCTACTGGGATCTACATTTAAATTCTTGTCCTCTTACATTCTTTTTTTAAAATATAGTGTTGTTTTTAAATATAGTATTGTTAATATTATTTTAATAACATTACTGATTTAAAGCTAGGCTGCATTAACAGAGGGATAGAATCAAGATCTCGTGCACAGGTATAGTATAGGTGGTACCTCGCTCAGCAGTAGTAACTGTGAGAGGGACCTAGTGGACAATCCCTTAAATATGAGCCACCCATGTGCTGCAGCTGCCAAAAAAGCCAACACAGTGCTGGGCTGCATTAACAGAGGGATAGAATCAAGATCATGTGAAGTATTAATACCACTTTACAAGGCCTTGGTAAGGCCACACTTGGAATACTGCATCCAGTTTTGGTCACCACAATGTAAAAAAGATATTGAGACTCTAGAAAGAGTGCAGAGAAGAGCAACAAAGATGATTAGGGGACTGGAGGCTAAAACATATAAGGAATGGTTGCTGGAATTGGGTATGTCTAGTTTAATGAAGAGAAGGACGAGGGGGGACATGATAGCAGTGTTCCAATATCTCAGGGGCTGCCACAAAGAAGAGGGAGTCAAGCTATTTTCCAAGGCACCTGAGGGCAGGACAAGAAGCAACGGGTGGAAACTAATCAAGGAGAGAAGCAACCTAAAACTAAGGAGAAACTTCCTGACAGTTAGAACAATTAACCAGTGGAACAACCTGCCTCTAGAAGTGGTGAATGCTCCAACACTGGAAGTTTTTAAGAAGAGACTGGACAGCCATTTGTCCGAAATGGTATAGGGTTTCCTGCCTGAGCAGGGAGTTGGACTAGATGACCTCCAAGATTCCTTCCAACTTTATTATTATTATTAAATGGAGTTAGTAGCTGTACTGTGCATATCAAGTATAAATCAGACAAGATAAATATTTAAATAAAGAATAGGAAGAGGAGAGAAAGGTTAGAAAGAAAGCAATAGAAAGCATAGGGAGGGAAGAACAAAAGAGAAATACGGGATTAAACAATGTATCCCACATTCCAAAGTTAAACTGCTATAGATAAAGAAAAGGTTATTTGTCTCAAGAAAATATAACACATCTGTGGGAAGAAATACATACAATAAAGCTTGGAGCTTTAAAAGGAAAATGCTTGATAGAAGTTTCTATTGGCCCTGTGCTTGTACTGATCGTCATAGCTTTGTTTTCATTGACTATTTCTGCATTGGTACTCTGGGGAAAAAAAATACATACATCAATTTGAGAGAGGAGGAAATGGCAGTTTTATAAAACCCAACCCTTAATCCAAACTTATTTCAGAATTTTATCAAAATTATTGCATTGTTTTTGCTCACTGTTAAACCAGTAATCCTCAACCATGTATGTGTAAAAACAGACTGGCTTCATACTGTATCTACTAAATCATAAAATGGCTTATTTGGTTTTGGCTTAGGGTGCTGCACAAATCCAGCCAATCTAATTTGTAAAACATGACCCACGACTTCACTTACTATGTGAGCCCAATCAACTGCCAAGGAATCTCTAATTAAACATCGTAACTTAGCACAAACATTGTTCAAAATAGAGTGATTGCAGTATTATGCTGGCATAATTAAATATACTGAAACTACTGCACGGTGGCTTTTGAAAAGGCAGTTAACTACCGTATTAGGGTAAATTTTAATAATGCTCTCTACTTCACTCTGAAAATCAGAAAATCCTAATAGCAAATGCATGAGACAAACACACACACACATACACACAAAATACTCCAAGGTAAATTTGATTCTATAAGCACCAAATTAGTTAGTCACCTGTTTTGTCAGAGGTGTTTGAGAAATTGAAAAAAACATTTAAGACTCTATGAGGATTGGATTCAACTCATACACATTCTATGCATAAAAACAGAATAAAAATAAAAATAAAAACATTCTGTATTTTTCTCTTTGGCACATTTTATCATTTATAACATATTTGTTTCTTTTTTAAAATTTGAAATGTTCATATATTGTTCAATGTTTGATAATCACTGATATACCTAGATTATTCAGATCCTTTTTCTATTTCTTTATTATTGCTTGTTATTATGTAAGGGTTTTTTAAATTATTTTTTTTAGAGGCAGTCTGACTCTAATGACCAAAATTGGGAGCAAAAATTTGGTCAGGTCCATTCGTTCAGCAACCATTCAAAGTTATTGCAGTGTTGACAGACTTGAACATTGGGCGCTATCTAACAAAATGAAATTCAGTGGTGAAAAAAGTAAAGTTCTACAATTAGGCAAGAAAAAACAAATGCACAAATATAGTATAGGTGGTACCTCACTCAATAGTAGTAACTGAGAGGGATCTCCAAGTCCTAGTGGACAACCCCTTAAACATGAGCCAGCCGTGTGCTGCAGCTGCCAAAAAAGCCAACACAGTGCTAGGCTGCATTAACAGAGAGATAGAATCAAGATCACGTGTATTAATGCCACTTTACAATGCCTTGCTAAGGCCACACTTGGAATATTGCATCCAGTTTTGTTGAGACTCTAATCTAGAAAGAGTGGAGAGAAGAACAACAAGGATGAGACTAAAACATATAAGGAATGGTTGCTGGAATTGGGTATGTCTAGTTTAATGAAGAGAAGGACGAGGGGGGACATGATAGCAGTGTTCCAATATCTCAGGGGCTGCCCCAAAGAAGAGGGAGTCAAGCTATTCTCTAAAGCACCTGAAGGAAGGACAAGAAGCAACGGATGGAAACTGATCAGGGAGAGAAGCAACCTAGAACTAAGGAGAAACTTCCTGACAATTAGAACAATTAACCAGTGGAACAACCTGCCTCCAGAAGCAGTGAATGCTCCAACTCTGGAAGTTTTTAAGAAGCGACTGGACAGCCATTTGTCTGAAAGAGCATAGAGTTTCCTGCCTGAGCAGGGAGTTGAAGACTCCAGGCTCCCTTCCACTGAGCAATTAATTGACAGTATCCATTTACTTTATACTGATGTAAGGTTAATTTGCTGTAGATAAAGGAAACATTTTACAAAAGTATCCAAAAATGCTCCTTTGCATAAAACATGCAACATATAAAATACCCAAAAATATACCCAGAAATAATATGTAGCATAAGCATACTATCATTAATATCAATATGTTAATTGTGCCGTAATCTTGAAGTTGCGCGTATATTAGCTGCCTTGAAAAAAGGAAATAGACTATGAAAAATTGCCTTAAAAAAAGACCTCCAATGTTGCAATCATCAGCAAAATACCCTATGAATATATCCCTGGGTACTTTTCCACTGCTATAGGTTTCATCTCTAACATAAGTTTCGTTTCCTATGAAATACCTGTAGGCTTTGTTCCTTGTCCATACAATGAGCTCATCCCCTCTGTTAAGTTTCGTTTCTTAAGTTGGGACTGATTTCCCAGAAAAGGCCTGCATGAAGACCCCAAGTTTCTGATAAGTAAGCTAAAGAATGATTTAGTGTCTCCTGGTTTCTTGTTTCTCGCTCCATATATGGTAATGAAGACCCTTTCCCCCTCCTGCTTTTTGTACATCCCCTAATGACGTTTATAGACCAATAAAAGAGAGGCACAGAGGCTTTTCGGGGCTCTCTCGCATGCCATCTCACCTGAAGAAACATGTTGTCCGTGTGTTTCTCTATCTGAGCGAGGCCCGTTGATGGTGTTCAACGTACATCACCAGTCTATTCCTCTGGAGAGGAATAAGTTCATCCTGCAGGCGCAGGATCCCGAAGTTCATCCTGCAGGCGCAGGATCCCAGAGTAAAATCTCACACTCCAAGCTCCCTTACTATTACTATTATCATTATTATTTATTGTTATTGTTGTTGTTATTATTATTATTATTGTTGTTGTTGTTGTTGCACGCGCAATGCTTACAACTTAATTATCCCCAAGGGCGAAGTGCAGCAGACGCCCTTCTCTGTACATAAAGCGAGCACAACTGAATGCTGCAACATCACTAAATCGGTGTACGTTGTGTATAAATACTTCGGGCTACGCTTAAAAAACATGGCTTACCATCAATCTGGGTTTGTCCGGAACAGGCCTGGTTTCCCTTCAACTTCCTTCCAGGCCGCGGGGGGAGGGAAGAGAAAGGGGGGAGGGGGGAATAATAATAATAATAATAATAATAAAAAAACCTTCCCCAAAAGTCCAACGAGAGGAGCGACGAAAGCCCAACGGAGACGCGTCGCCTTCGATGACGTCACTGAGGCGAAAACTGTTCGGGAGGCGGTGTTTCTGCGCGGTAATTCCGGACAGGGACGCTTCATCTCTCTCTCTCTCTCTCTCGATTGGTGAATAGGGGAAAGGGGGCGGGGCCACCAAGCGTTCTTCGCCGGACTTGTGGCGCTGTGACGTCTCGCTCTCTGGTTATATCCAGAGCGCGACTGAGGAGGAACTGGAGAACGTTATTCAGAGGCTTCTGCCGTTCCCCGCATTAAACTCTAACGTAGCTCTGTAGCGGGTGGAGGGGGGGCTTTCCTATTTTATACCGTGACCTGGGATTTAAATGTATTTTATTTTATTTTTTATAAAGATGTTATTGATTTTCTTTTGTATACATATGTTAATTTTTCAATCAACGAGTTTCTCTGGGTGGGATTTAAATTTAAATAGCAGGCTTTCAAGTTCCTATTATCAAACCTCAGTTTATTGTCTTGATATGGTAAGCTCTGTTTAAGGGGGAGGGACTATTTCAGACGGCCAATAGCGGTTCAGTGGCTAACAATCTGTGATTTCATATAGTAAATGCTTATTTAGTTAAGCCATTGTAGTAATAATAATAATAATGATATAAAATATAATGATAAAACAATAATAATTATTGCTATTGCTATTGTTCTCATCATTACTATATTGTTATTGTTATTGTTTTAATAATTGTTATTGTAATATAGTAATGATACTAGAATAGCAATAACAATAATTGCTATTAAAATTAAAATAATAGCAATTATTGCTGTATTATATTTATTGTATTACATTTTTATTTTATTTTATTTTTATATTTTTTATATTTTATTATATTTTATTATATTTATATTTATGATATTATATTATATTATATTATTATTATATTATATTATATATTATCATATATCATATATCATATATATTATTATTATATTGTTGGAAGGGACCTTGGAGGTCTTCTAGTCTGTACCGTTTCAGACAAATGGTTGTCCAGTCTCTTCTTAAAAACTTCCAGTGTTGGAGCATTCATAACTTTTGGAGGCATTTTGTTCCACTGGATAATTGTTCTAACTATCAGGAAATTTCTCCTCAGTTCTGGGTTGCTTCTCTCCTTGATTAGTTTCCATCCGTTGCTTCTCGTCCTGCCTTCAGGTGCTTTCCTGACAGTTGGAACAATTAACCAGTGGAACAACTTGCATCTAGAAATTGTGGGTGCTCCAACACTGGAGGTTTTTAAGAGGAGATTGGACAGCCAACTCTGTTATTCTATTCTATTCTATTCTATTCTATTCTATTCTATTCTATTCTATTCTATTCTGTATTCTATTTCTATTTCTATTCTATTCTACTTATTCCATTCTATTCTATTCCTTATTCTATTCCTTATTCTCTATTCTATTCTATTCTATTCTATTCTGTATTCTATTTCTATTCTGTTCTACTTATTCCATTCTATTCTATTCCTTATTCTATTCCTTATTCTCTATTCCATTCCATTCCATTCTATTCCATTCCATATTTTCTATTCTATTCTGTATTCTATTTCTATTTCTATTCTATTCTACTTATTCTATTCTATTCTATTCTATTCTGTATTCTATTTCTATTCTTTTCTACTTATTCTATTCTATTCTATTCCTTATTCTCTATTCTATTCTCTATTCTATTTCTATTTCTATTCTATTCTACTTATTCTATTCTATTCCATTCCATTCCATTCCATTCTATTCTATTCTATTCTATTCTATTCTAAAAGGATTACAAATCAAACAGCGACGTCTTTAAACGAGGAACTAAGAACACTGATCCCCCCCCAACCCCACCCACCCACCGCTTCCTCGCTCCCTGAAACTCAACGCAAGAGCCCTCCCGCCCATAAGCCCCGCTCCGAAGGACAGGCGGGGTCCCGGGGTGCAGCGGCATCTCCCCATTTGCCTCTGCCACCGGAGCCCCCAAGCTTGCACCCAGCGATTGAAAGTACCGCCCAGGTCCTCCAAGGAGAAACTCCCCCCCTTCTCCCTCCGTCCCCTCCTAGCTCGTTCGAAGTTCTCCGTCCGAGCCAAAGTTGGCGAGAGAGGGGAAATCAGCGCCCTGGAGGAAGAACGCCCGGGGCGAGACCGGGTCCCCCCCCACCGATCTTCCGAGGAGGAGGGGAAAAAAAAGAGTGCCGGCACCCCCGCAGCCTCTTTCCTTGGGAGGGCGGTAAATTGGGAGGGGGGGGAGGGAAATCACCCTCTTTCTTTGCTTCAGTTTTCAGCCCCGTTGGGTTAATGAAGACGCATTAATAATTGTTAATAATTATTAATAACTAATAATTGGTAATTAACAATTGGTAATTAATAATAATTGGTAATTAATAATTGGTAATTAGTGATCAATGATCAATAATCATAAAGTTGGAAGGGACCTTGGAGGTCATCTAGTCCAACCCCCTGCTCAGGCAGGAAACCCTGTACCATTTCAGACAAATGGCTGTCCAGATGAAGGATCGAAGAAAGGGCGGGAAAGCGAAGGGATCCTGCGCGGGTCCCTCCTTCCAACGGCTGGAGGTTCAAGAGGGAGCCGGACTCCTGCTTGATCAAGGATCTCCTGCTTGAGCGGGAGGGGGGGTGGGTGGGCTGGACTAGACGACCTCCAAGGTCCCTTCCAGCTTTATTCTGATTCCTGGGCCGGCCACTCTCACTCGCTGTGGCCGGGCTCCTGCCTCACTTTCTCCGCCCTCCCCCCGACCGCTGCTTCCCCTTCTAGACCGCTCTGGGGGGGGGGGCTGGACTAGAAGACCTTCAAGGTCCCTTTTCATGCAACAACTGAAGAAAGCTTCTTGGATGAGAAGCAAAACATTTTTTAAGTTAAAACAAAACAAAACAAGGAAGTTCTTTTGAACAGCCCCTTTGGGGCAAACTGATGACTTGCTTAACCTCACCTTCCAGCTTAGCTTGTTGGTCTCCTACATTACAAAGAGCTTGGGCCAAGGTGGTCCACAGGTCCCCTCAATGGATCCCTAGGGGGGCTCCTAACTCCTGGAAGAACCACCTCCCCAATTTGTTGCCCCCTCTCGCCGTAGCCCACTTCCACGAAGTTGTTAAAGGCAGCTGTTCTCAGAAGCTTTTTTCTGGAGATGAACACCTGGGCTGTCTCTCCATCCGTTGTTCTTTCTTCGTTCTTCCTTTGTTTTTCAGGGGTGTTTCTTGGTGGTTTCAGGCTCTGAGGTCGGTGCAGCACCAACAGATGCAAAACCGTGTTGATGTTTAAGTCGTGGGAAAAGAAATAGGGTGATACCAGACAGTGCATGAAGCAAATTTGTCTGAAATGATATAGGGTTTCCTGCCTGAGCAGGGGGTTGGACTAGATGACCTCCAAGGTCCCTTCCAACTTTATTACTATTATTATTATTATTATCATCATCATCATCATCATTATGGATCATCGCACAGTCAGCCAGATGTTCAGACTGGATTTGGCATTTTATCTACCTATCGAGTCCTTACCAAGGACCTGGGATAGGCAGATGTGGATGTTTGCTAGTATTACAGATATCGTCGCAGGATGGAAGCAGTTCCTAGTAAGGCCGCCTTTTGCAATTGACTAATGGCGAA